CCAGCATTCTCTAATCCACTCTTTCCTGGGCCTTCCTTTCCAGTTCTGTCCAATTTTTTTTCCATTTTCCTCATGTCTATCTCCATTTCTCAGTGTAATGTGTTCTTTGGTCTTCCTCTTTTCCTTTGGCCTTGAGGATTTCATGTGAGGGCTTTCCTTGTGACACTTTAGAATTCAACAATTTAGTTCAGAGAATATAACACCTCCAAAAATAATCATACCACCACCTACCGACAGTTACTAATTTTAAAAGGCAATAAATTACTGACATAGAAAGACTGTTGTTAATTTGCATCAAAGTTTCAAATATTTCTTGCTGAAGATTCTTTATTGTAACTAAATACATAATGTCGAATAAAACAATTATAAACGGCATTCTTCACAGGTTGGTCTCATTTGAGGATCCGTTGAAAATCCTGTAGTACTGGATAGCTCTTTCTCCCTAGAATGTTACTCAGACTCGTTTGGAAATTGAACCGAACGCCTGCAGGTTTCACAGTGGTCTCTAAACTATTAAATGACGCAATCCACATTCAATAGTACACAGTCTCAACTTCAATCAATTCATGTTATAGCATGATATTTATCGGATTCAATTAGTTTTTGCTGTTTCACTTGTAACATATTCGAACCCATCAGGTCATGACTTCTCAATAGAATTTCAGGAACTCATCTAGATCTTTTGAAGCTTCATAAGTGTGTATGATATGATGGAAAGAAAAGTCGATTTTCGATTGATTTACTCATTATGAGTTTTGTTCAACATTCAACATCCATTTTGATTCAACGTGAGGATCATTCAGTGTAGTATTTGATTTGTTTTCCCAGTATGATGTTTTCTTCTGTATAATATACGATATTCTTGTATTCAGTTGAACATGAACTATGCTCGCAGTCTGTGATTTGTTATAACTGAGTATGTGATTTACTCCTAATTATTAATCAAAAATGGGTGTACAATCAATATATAAACCAGTGTATTTTAGACTAGATTCGATTTGTCGTCGTTGTCATAGTGTTTTGAGGCTAATGAATCTTCACTTATACCAGTCTTTTTGTTCTTACTTTCACATCGTGGGAATTGCCGTGGTCTCTCGTTCCGAGTATAAGTGATCAGCGCTTTTTTTCGGCACAGCAATCAGCGACAACCGAATATAACAGTGTATTAGTAAGGAGTCCCATACAAGAGCAAAACAACTATCCAGTATCCTCTAGTTTCAATAATACTTGAAATGAGTCCAGTCAGTGAAGAATTACCCTGAATTGTTATGTCTAAAATAATTTTGTAATTTTTTCAATTGAACTGTTAATCAATCAATAGGATCTGTAGGCAAGAGGTTTTATATGATAAAATCTAATTGCTGTCTGTATTCATTGATCATTGAGGCAGTAATTACCAAGCTCATCGTCTAATCTATAATATTTGAACATATAAATATTGATACGAAAGGGCACCGAATACATATGCGCCACACAAGTCAATTGATTTGTGTATGGGCTGTGATACTGCCCAGGTGCCAAGACCGAAACAGATGGTTTTCTTAGAGGGCCACACCCGGAGCCTTCGACCTAAAGATCTGATGCACAAAGCAGTGGAGCAATGTCAGGAGATGCAGTCTGTTGGTAGGCGGTGATCAACAATTGGTTCATACGCCATTTGTTCCTTCAGGATACTGAAGCCTATGTGCACTATTGGTTTGAAATCAGAGTTCTCCAACTCCATATCCACCAACCCGGTTAATGAGACGGATGTCTAATCTATAAGGTTGTTTGAAGTTTGTCGACCAGGTGTTGAATGTATTCGATTAGGTGAATAGTCGTACATTAAAGTTTACTTTATTCTAGTTCTAGGTGGCTGTATACAGTCAGAAGGTACTAATGTATTTTGTTGGATTCGAAATTATATTCTCTAATGTGACAATCGATGTCGCTATTGAGATATTTAAACAACAGTGAACACCAGTTCTGTCAAGATTGAAGATGTACATTCCTGATAAGAGCGAGAGAGTTCTGTCTATTATCTTTAATGACTAAACATTAGCTAATACATCTTTGAAAGAAAAAAACCCAACTGCCTACTCCAAATAACCTTTTTTCTTAGTTGCACATTCTTTCATTGCTAAATACTCCCGGGTCTAGTTAAACTGTTTGGTACTTGTCAGTAAGATTTGTCTGAAACACTGAAAAAAAAATTTGATGATTCAAGATAAACACGTAAGATTACTGTCAAACTATTCAAGTTTCAACCAATCTCTTGAAGTTCAGTAATATTTCTAATAACTGTTCACTTGGTTATAAGCAATGTCTTATTATCTGATTGCTCGGACTGATGAAGTTGTAATTTGATTAGGTTAGGCTAAATTACTTGTAATATTTGTATGAACACTATGCTATTTTAATCTAATCTTCAATAACTCAAATACCAATTAACTGTAATGTTATATTCTATTGTTTATAACTGGTTTCATGTTATGAAGATATTTTTTGTCATACGTTGGCATCGATATGTGATATCACTGGAAATCAATAAGAGTTCGAAAGCTGCCGATTCCTAAACTAAAACTTTATAATCAAAGAGGGATTTTGTGGATATCATAGTAATTTAGTAGTTGAATTCACGAGTCAATTGAAGCTAGACCACCAATGGAAAACCTGAAAGCACTGGACGACTGTTTCGTCCTATTATGGAACTCCTCAGTAGTGCGCATCCATGAATCAGCCTCACTAGATTTCAACCCATGATCTATCAGTCTCGCGCAAGAGCGCTAAATCTCTACACCACTAAGCTTGCATCCAATGACGTTAATGTCTAACTTCAACCAACCCACGAAATTGCGCCACCGTCCACCATTGTCATCAGTGAGTTACTATCTTACAACAGACGCGGTTGAACACTACTATTATTATTATTATTATTATTATTATTATTATTATTACTACTGCACATATTCCATGCAATAATATTACTAATTACTAATTAACTGATCACGCGATTCCCCAACTGTATGAAATTACAGTACCAACATGAATCTCAAACAGAATCACGAAACCTTACAGCAATTATGTTCACTTCACATTACCGAGTTAGAATTTAAGGGTTCATATTTGTAGTTCAAGTCAATTTGTTAATATGGGGAACTCGATGTATACAAATATATATGGGTATTTTTGTATAAAATACTGTTTATTTATCAACAACTGTACATAATAACATCATTTTCTTCATGAGAATCCTTTCCATACAAAAATGAATATAATTTCTCGGATGCTCACTGTTGAAGAGTCCCACAATAAGATAAAAAGGCGGTCTAGTGCTTCCAGGTCTTCCATGATGGTATAACATCAATCGGTTCATGATCTAAACCATTAGAATATAGGTATTAATGCCTAGCTTCAACCAATCGATGCAACTGCTCGACCATCTTCTAATGTACTCAGATAGATATCTGCCTCAACCCACTGGTCACGACTTCTCATCTGAACTCCGAGAATTCCCCCACGAAGCTAGTCACTAGTGAGCGCATGGTAATTACCAGTGTAGTATTGTTGAGATTATTAAGTTTTTAATTGAGATCATGAATTGATTGATGTTAAACAGCCATTGAAAACCTGAAAGCACTGGACGACCGTTTCGTCCTATTATGGAACTCCTCAGTAGTGTGTATCCACGATCCTGCTCGTAGCATCCAAACTCAGGGTTTTCACTCTCGCACGTGAACACTTAATCTCTAGACCACAGTGTTAATCTCTACCATTAACCAATCCACCAATGCGTACTTTTGAGGAGTCCCACAATGGAAAACAAAACGGTCATCTAGTACTTCCAAGTTTTCAATCGTGGTCTACGATTAATCGATATAAATTCTAAAAAGTTCTAGGCAAAAACAAACAAACAAATGGAAAATCCACAATTTACTCAAGGATGAAACAGCATTCTTTTTTTTATCCTGTTTTTTTTGTTTTATTTTTCTCTATACTGGTTTCTTTTTTACATCAACCATTATATATGCATCATGGTTATGTGTTATGACAGTAAATTAATGAATAAACGGATGAATGAATGAGTAAATAGATGTGAAAAACTGTGAAACACAAAAAAACTCTAATCCACTATTTGATTTTGTGTATCGTTTCTATGTTGCTCACTTGTTTTCTTTCTTTACTTCTTCTGTACTTTGTTTTTTTGCTCTTCTTTTGTAAATTTGAATATTATAATGATTAGAATTGTAAGGATAGTAATGTCAGAAGTTTTGATCATGATGATCAGACAATCCCTTAAACAAAGTGTCAATTAGTTGTAGTATAAGATGGATCTAGTCCCCAGAAGTATGTATCTACGACTCCATTATGAATCGAACGCAATACTTTAAATTCTCGTTAAGATGAACTTAGCATTCAAACTCCTGTCTCAGAATGAACATCAACTCTGAGATTCAGGTACATTCAGCTGACGAGTCGCAAATAGGACAAAATGCACGTCCTGGATTCCACTGCTAGCCACTATCCATCATTGCCTAACACCAAATAGTTTACATTTCTAACTTTAATCCATTTGCGATATTGGGGTCAAATTCCACTGGTCATAGGTTCTCACTTGATCTCCATGATTAACTTCAAAATTAATTACTTGCGAGTAAACAATTATCATTTAGAAAAAGAAAACCATGGAACATTAGAAAGTATTGAACAGATTTTGTAGGTATATTTTGAAAAAATCGGAGGATTACTTCAAAGCCACAACGGTTAAGCATATTTACACACACACACTTACACATGCAAAGGATCAAAATCAATGACCTATAGATTTCTACTTGAAGTTTGTGCTAATGATGTTGTTCAGAAGAACTATGAAAGCTCCATGATCAAACCTTCCAGATCAGAGAATAAAACTACATCAATACCGCGAAGTGCATAATATCAATTAACACACACACACACACACACAAACACAAACACAAACACTGAGGCGATACAAAACAAACTACATTACCTAACTTTCAATGATTCTCAAGTCCAAGTTAATTTTAGTTATAAAAATACGTAATAACTTGTTCTGGTTAGAGTTTTTAAAGGTAATTTATAATCTTGTTCTTAATCGTAGTCAGATTGATTCCTTCTAAATTTCATAATGATCATAATACAAAAAGTCATTAAATTAATATTCAATGGAATATATTCTCTCTGAATAAAATAAAATGACATGAAATAATTTAGGTCACTTTATTGTTAAAACCATAGAAAACTGATACTTACTACAGGAAATACTTTGATTTACACGATGAAAATGAGAAAATAAAGATTACAGATGATGATGATTCGGATAGTGATGATGATGATGGTGATGATGATTCGGATGATGATGATTATTTGGATGATGATGATGATGATGGTAATTATTTGGATGATGATGATGATGATGATGATGATGATGATGATGGTGATTATTTGGATGATGATGATGATGATTATTTGGATGATGATGATGATGATGATGGTGATGATGATTATTTGGATGATGATGATGATGATGATGATGACGATGATTCGGATGATGATGATGATGATGATGATGATGATGACGATGATTCGGATGATGATTCGGGTGATGATGATGATGATGACTCGGATGATGATGATGATGGTGGTGACTATTCGGATGATGATTATGATGATGATGATGATTCGGATGATGATGATGATGATGACTCGGATGATGATGAAGCTGGACTATAACTGAGAATTATTGATGAACATGAATATAACTTCAAAGTTACTACACATAACAAAACAACATGTCATCTACCGATGATGAAATAAAAGATCTTCCTGAATAATTACTGCTTATTGACTGAATTTTAACTCATAAACACATTTTAATGTTTACATTGTAATTTATGGATAACTTTGATCTTTTCTAAAATGTACATTTTGAAATTTCATTCATTAATTAAGTACAAGTTTGTTTTGATCATGAATTGATATCAACTTTAATGCAATCATACAAGTATCAAGATCATTTACATAATCCCTCTACTTCACCGTTATAGTTCAACTTTACCATGAACTTCTAATAAATCTGAAAACTGTTTATAAACTACCAAGTTATCAATAAATCATTTATCTGGTTACTAATCAACTTTGAATATATGAAAATGGGCAATACTCAACATGAACAGATCAATAATTTGATGTTTGGATACTAATTCATAGTATCTGTAAGACTGAACTTGTTGAGATGAAAGCTACTGAGTTCTAGTTTGAATGTAAGTACTGATACTTGGATACAGGTGCATCCGCCTGAAGGGTTCTAAATAAAATGAAATCAGTGTTCTGGACTTCATTGTTAGATACAATCCGCTTATTCTGTATAAATTAAAAGATATTTTACTAGTTGAATTCATGAGTCAATTAAATCTAGACCAATATGGAGTTCAACTAGATGTGTTGTGAGATAGTAACTGACTGAAGACAATGGTGGACAGTGGTGCGATTTCGTGGATTGGTTGAAGTTAGACTTTAACACTGTTGGATGCCAGCTCAGTGGTTAAGTGTTCGTGAGAGACCGATACGTCATGGGTTCGAGTCCTGCGAGTGGGATCATGGAAGCTCACTGCTGAGGATTCCTGTACTATGATGAAACGGTCGTCCTGTGCTTCCACATTTTCCATGGTGATCTAGCTTCAATTGACTCATGATCTCAACTATTAAATTACTATAATATCCACAAAAATCCATTTCTTATAAAATTCAAGTGATTTATTAAAAGGTTACCCAGGAAATAGTTCATAATAAAAAAATCATTTCACACTTGGTGTTGTTCATTTGTATATTCCCACTGTTATTTAGGACTGTAACTGATCAATCTCTTGTTAGCATATGTGCATCCTGTACAGACTGTTTTGATATTGCCTTAAGTCTCAAACATTCTAAGTAAAGATGGATAGTGTATAGTAGTGGAATGCAAGACGCGCATTTTCTCCTATTTGAGACTCATCCGTTGGATGTACCTGCATCTCAGAGTTAATGTTCACTCTGACCAATTTCAGTCCTAAATAACAATAGGAAGATACAAGTAAACAACACCAAGTGAATACCTGATTGCACAACCAAGTGGCTATCAGGATTCAATATATAACTAAATAACGTGATGGCATTTGAAGTGAACGGTACTGGTTTCGAGTCCTAAAGTGAACGTGCAGGTACATTTATCTGACAACTCCAAAATAGGACAAAACTCTCGTCTTACTGAATTCCTCTGCTCGTTACTATCCATGTTTGCTTTAAAAAAAATCATTTATCCATATCTCCTTTTTGTCAACTACATTATTACTGTACATGATTAATTATTTAGACATATATACATATATATATATATATATATATATCAGTTATTACTACTTATTTAGACATTGTAATTAATTAATTTCCAATCACATCAATGATGTTATTTATTAACTTTCAACTTATTCTGACAATCCCCCCCTCCTTTAAATGATCTAACTTATCAACCTGGATATAACATGGAATAAATTTATACATAGAATGAAAGACTGAAGGCAATGGGGAACGAGATATGAACTAACCACTATCCTCTCACACTACTCACACACACATGGAGAGTGTGTGTGTGTGTGTTGATGTATCATATGGGAAAAATTAAATTGTCTACCATTTCTTTATATCACGTAATGCAACAATCATATTTCATTTGAAAAAATAAACACAATAAGTCTTGATTAATTATTAAGAATAGATGTTAATATATTACTATTATCAGCGAAGAGATTTCAGTAGTATTCGTTATTTATTATGATGAAACTAAATAACATCAATAAAACGTTAATGTTCTACATCCATTCCCTTATGTTCTCAATCTATGTAAGTGTATACACACGTGTGTGCATGTGCGCATGTGACAGTCGAGATATTGTTCTTCTTCTTCTTCTCCTCCTTCTCCTCCTCCTCCTCCTCCCGTGTTTGGGTTTCGTTCAATCAGTCAGTCGTAGTGATTTTCTAGACATATTATGATAATTACTAATAACATGACCTGGATATTGTTACTATAGTAATAGTAATAATTTACTTACATCATAACGATTTAGTCAAAACATTAACAAGGGATACGATATAACAATTATGATGATGATATCGGCTTCTGGTAACAATTACATTATTGACATTAATAAAAAAACATTAATTAACCTCGTTACCAACACACACACATATATATATATATGTATGTTTATAAAAAAAGGCACAAATACTCCTTTTTACTTTGTCTAGTTTAAGTACAACCAACTCAGTTTATACATGTTGCTTGTTCAACGTTCAAGTCAATCTTAATATTATCAGTATGGAACTTTGTAGAAATTGTAGTGAAATTCCGTGTACAGGATGATGGATACACACTGTTGAGGAGCCAGATACTAGGATGAAACGGTTGTTCAGTATTTCTAGGTTTTTAGTAATGGTTTAGCTAAGATCAATTCGTGAAATCAACTGTGAAAATTCTAATACCGATTAATTGTTCATTTAATAATGGTTTCATGTATTGAAGCATTAAGTTTTCAAAGAATAGGTTATAGATCCAAATCCTGATCTACTTATTTTCAATGAGAGCAATGTAATGCAAAGTTAAGTGAATAAACATGTTCTTAAAAAAAGAATCTTGAATATCAAGCAAGTGATCTTGATTGTTCAAGTTCAGATATGTTCAGAGTGAAACAAACGTCAATAGAAATATCACAAGGGTTTTGTGGATATTATAGTGGTTTCAACCGTTGAAATCATGAGTCAATTGAAGCTAGATTACCATGGAAAGTCTCTCACTAGAACTCCAGGTAATACTTCTTGAAGTCAGTCACTATTGAGCTTATGTTGAATAATATCGGAAGGGGCTTTGTGGATATTATAGTAATTCTAATAGTTAAGATCATGAATCCAGTGCTTCTAGGTTTTCCATGATGGTCTAGCTTCAATTGACTCATGATCACAACTATTAAGAGAGAAAAATAATTAAACATTGAATTCCATTTTAATGAACAAAAAGTCAGGTATGGAAATCCAACCCTTTTGTACAATATGAAAACCATGCATTAAATACATTACTTCCACGTCTTCTTTCAGTTTTCTTTTACATGCTTCATGGTTCTTTTGAATCTGTTGTTATTTCAATTGTTCCCTGTTTTCTTTCTTATTCTCTTCGATTCGATCTTCTTCCGGCAACCATTCCACTTCCGATTTTTGCTTCATACTACTTATGTCTGTTAACATAAGTATCATGGACCACACTATGACTGTATAAAGTTATAGAATGAGTCATAGTCAAAGAAATGTAGTGAAACCGTACACATAAACAAGGAATATTTATTCATATCAACCGGAGATTATTGATTTTAAGTACATCAAGAACTAATATCATTTGGATATTTGTGCATTAATCCATCATGATGGCCGACATTACGTTAGTCTAGGCCATTGCTTTTGATCACTAGCTATGGATCAAGTTACAATATATTCACTAGTCTAAGTGACTACACATCACTTGCTCTTTGTTGAGACCTTGGAGGTATTTAATGCTCAGTATGATGTATCCAATCTGTGGGATTAGAACCATTGTCACCTAGTTTCATGGTCTGGAATGTTACAAATGACCTATTAAGGTTGCAACTGACCTGTATTATTGAGTTACTTATACTAGATGGATCACAAAGTAGAAGTCCTCTTTAGTACTGACCGGATTTCAGCGATCAAGATATAAATGTTGCTTCTGATTTAAGTGACTCGATAATACATGAATACATGAATGTAAGGCGTGACAATAATTTATGGATGAACCAATCATGTACAAGATGACAAATCTCGGATTTTGGTGCGAAATTCACTCATCCATTTGGATAAATAGAGTTTTGCCATTATAACTGATGTCTGTTTGTGATAAAACCACGAAATCTAATTCCTAACTTTTATCATCAATTGTAAATCATAATTCTAATTCCTCACAACTGGTTTATAACCCTCATTTGGTCCTGGATATTAAGTGGACACTCTCATGGTCAGTCTAGCGTCGTTCAAAGGTCGTCCATAAATTATGTTCTCATCGAATGTAAATTTATTACATCAAAAAAGTTTTCCTCCTTGACATCGGTTCTGTCTTTTCAAATCGGTTCATTTGAGGCTTACATCAATAAATCGATATCTTGAAAGGTTATCACTCAACCAAATCTTATCATTCTTATAACAATTGTGATTAAGATCATGAACCAGTTGATATTAGAGCACCATTGAAAACTTGGAAGCACTGGACGGCCATTTCGCCCTATTGTGGGACTCCTCATCAGTGCGCATCCAGTAGGTTAAGGGTTCGTGCGCGAGACTGATAGATCTTAGATTCGAGTCCTGCGAGGCAAGATCATGGATGCGCATTGCTGAGTAGTCCCATACTAAGATGAAACGGCAGTCTAATGCTTACAGGTTTTCCATTGGTGGTCCAGCTTCAATTCACTCATGATCTCAACCATTAAAATATTTCATTCTATTGAATATTTATTCGTAACTATTAGATTATTCAAAATGAAAAGAGTTAAGAAACCTAGCAACTAAATAACTTTTTTTATCCCCTCCTCTCCCCCCCCCTTCCCTTCTCTCCTCTCCCCTTCCGAAATAAAATATTCGGCAAAATTTCGAATAGATTATATCGATTGAAAAACATGAAATTGTATCACATTAATTAG